AGGCAGGGTCTGGGCGGTAGAAGAGGGTGTAACGAGGCGGCGGATAAAGAGGAAGCGAGAGCCTGCAGCGCAGGGGGAAAGCCGCAGGAGCCCAAAGAGGATCGGTACACGGAGCCCGGACCTTCGGTAGCCACACCGGTGATCCCTCTGCCCGTTAACCGTCTGCCTTCCCTCTAGCAGCCAGCACGCTTGTGTCAGGGTGCGGAAGGTCAGGACAGGATGAGGGATAGTTCAGCGTGCAAATCGGTGACAGATCCGTGCCCCCTCCAGCTGTAAGTCACACCTCTTCCGAGTGCAGCAGGAGACTTCAGCTCGAGTGGCAGCTTATCGGCTTATGTTGTGCCGTACCTTCCAGCAGCCCCTTCTGGGCTCAGAAAATCCTGGGCAGTGAGCATTATTTTATTTGCTTTGTGAGCAAATAAAATTCTTCAGTAGACCGTGCATTATTTTATTTGCTTTGTGAGCAAATAAAGTTTTTCAGTAGACCGTGCATCTTCCTTCCGAAATAAAGAGCTAGCTTGAAAATGTCTGAGTTTGCGTGGCCTAGTGGGACTTCCAGCCCACTACTTGTGTTTTTCCGTGTCTGGGAGTAGAGAGAAGTGCAGAGTACAGCCTGCCAGTGCAGCAGGACACAAATCGTTCTGTTCTACCGGAGTTACTGTTAGTTTCTGTAATGCTGATTTCTAAGGAATCCGTATCAGGTTTTTATTACGGTAGGCAAACACAGCCTAAAAAAAGCAACGCTAACACTTAGTGTTCATGATATAAGAAAAGAGATAAGGCAGACAAAAATGGAAACGTAATGGTCTCAATGTATGGTGACTTAAATGGTTTTATGCACGGTTTTCCTAAGTGGTGATCTGGACAATCAGACACTCCTTGGCACTCTCCCTCCCTTCACGCAGAGAATAACAAACCAGGAAACAAACTTTTATATACTTTACTTGCTTTCTCTTCAGATTGTGGGAGATTACACATCAGCACTGAGATATGTGTATATTTGGTACGTACCAGCCTGTGAAAGAATAAACAGGCTGTGGGTGAACACAAGATGCATCAGTTTTTAGAGTGAGGAAATCTATATCAGCCCTGTTCCTCCTCACAAAAAAACCCACCCCAAACAAACATCAACCCAACCTCAAAAAACCTCTATCTTTGATTTCTTAACAGACAGCAAAATCAATAAAAATACAGAAATAATTTGGTGTTAGTTGGGGCAAGGTGGTTGGCATTTTTGGCCTTTCAAAGGTCCATTCATGCAATTTCTCCCAAATCAAGTGTTGCTTATGGTAATACTGACACACTTTCAGCATTTTGTAACAGGACATTCAGCTCGATTTTCCTGCCTTTAAATAAGGAATACCTAGGAGAAATGTTCCACACACTTTTGACTAGGAAGAGGAGAAGAATTTCATGATAGCATACCAGTTTTGTTTGTGGGACTGCATAGTAAATTGGTCTTAAATGGGAACACACACAGGTATTGTATTGCTGCATTAGTACTGAGGTCACTGTACTGGTATGATTCCTCGTGGTCAAAAGCAGTGAAAGATACACTGGGAGAATAAAATTCTGGTTTTCCTGCAAAAGAGAATCGACCTAAACAGTTGGACTCAGATGTATATAGTGGCATAGTTCAACTGATGGTAAATTTTTGCAGTGCAGATAAATTTTTCCCCAGTATTTGTTAAACTGTGGAATTGCCATTCCGCATTGTTCTTTACATTTTTTAATACTTCTAAAAAGTGTAACAGTTGTCATCTCCCCTCCCCCCGGTACTACTTTTAAGCATTAAAGCAGCTTTGAAAGATTCTGGTGAGTTTTTTGGGTACTTTTTGAATTCTGGAGCTTCTTGAGCTGAGTGTTAATACCTGCTCATGCTCAAGGAAGAGAATGTCATTTGGAATTTAGCATGCATGCATGAGATACTGTGTAGAATCAGATTTATTGACCTCTTCACTTTCTTGCTTGATAATCTACCAAACAAAATAAAATGCTCTGTGTGAATGCTGAGCCTTAGTGCTGCTTGTTCTAGAAAAAGTGTCATGCTGAGTAGTGGTGTTAGCAGAGAAAAATCCTACACATGTCTCAAGACTGAGGGGTGTTTTTTAATTTCTGAATTTTAATGTGTATTTAAGCAAGTCCTTAACAGATTGAATCACATAGTTGTTTCCTGCTCAAATGTAATAAGCTACTTCTGACCTCATTTTGCTATTCTAGGGTGCAGTAGAGCCCATGCAGATTGACGTAGATCCACAAGAAGATCAGCAGAATGCACCTGATATCAACTATGTGGTGGAGAACCCCACTCTGGTACGTGCTGTTTGAGGGCTACTGGGTTACGTTTCTTGGGCATGGCCTCTTCCTTTAAGGTTTTTGGAAAACTCCTTCATTTTACTCTGTGTCGAACTGTTCTTTAGAGATTCATAGATTCTCTTCAAAGGAAGATGGGGTGAGAGTAGCAGTGCCCGCTTCTGTAGCTCCTTGCCACGTGCTGACCTCTGCTGCACCTTCTGAGATGAAGGAGGAATTGCTGGTTTGTGACTTGCTGTGCGCTGCCCGTTTGACACAGTTTCCATTCAGAGACGGTTTAGTACATCTCTGATTACTTAGAGACATCATTCCTTTATTTTGAGGCATCTTCTTTGAGGAGCAAGGCTCAGGTGTGTAATTAGGATAGAGTTCTTTCATTGCTTGATCCTCTGGAGACTGGCTAAAACCCACAGAGCTGAAGAGTTAAAAAAGCCTGTGTTTGCTTATATCAGCTTCTTCACCTTTTAGTTAATTAATTGAGATTTTGGCCAGTTTTTATATATCAGCTCTGTAACAGTGAGAGATAGTTGTGACTGAAGAGAACAAAAATGTTAATTGGAAAAAGTTAAAGTAGGATTAAAATTGCAAAATAAAGCGTTCAGTTAGGAAGCTTTGAATCTTGCCTAACCTCTGAAGCTTTAATTTGTTCCTCTTGTCACCGTGCCTTATAACAACTGTCACGTGGTTATTCACTGTTTACTGCACAGCCCTCTTTTTTGTCGTTGCTGTTTTTTGTTTGTTTCTTGGTTTTGTTTTTGTGTTTGTTTGGCTTTTTTTTTTCAATTTCATTGCATTTCAATTCTATTCTGAAGCTGGAGTGATGAAGTAATGATGTTGTGACCTTTATGTCTTTGTTATGTTATTACTATAGCATTTAAATGTTAAAAAAAACCCCTGATTCTCTTTCACTGTAACTGACGTGAAGGACTGTAATTCCCCTTTGACATTCAAAGAGCTAAGGAGTGAAGTGAAATTAGTCAGTGATTTCAGGAGTATTGTGTACCATCAGGCATGAAACTGGAAGAAAGAATGCTCCTGCCTTTGTAGTTGTCAAGTTCTGTAGCAAATAAAGCAGGAATCCTAAATATAAATTTTCAGTGCACACAGTCCTGTTTCAGTCTCAGAGCAAGATTGTCCTTGCACTGAATCAGGAAGAATCATGCTAGAAACTGCTACTGTGACATCCGTAGCAGTGTCTTAATTTGGATGTACAGGGGTGAAGGAGTCAGACGTGACGTAGGCTGCATATTCAGTGTGGACAGGCAACCTGAATCTCGTGTTTCCCGCTGCCTGAATGCTTGACTTTGCCCTGAACATTCTGGGTTGTCTGTACTTCTGTCTTGAGGAAATCTCCCTGCAATGCCGTATCATATCTTTACTAGATGTTTTGTGCTCCTCTTTCCCCTCCCACCCCAAGGCTTAAAATCTGTTAAGTGTTCAGAATTTAAACCTCAGATCCTTCCTCAAGAGTAAGGGACCCTATTTGTTCTCAAAGGAGATGTTTCAAGAAATTAGTATGAGAAAATGAATGCAAATTGTCCTGTGAATACTATTTTTCAAGGAAAAACTACGTCTGGAATGGTTGTCTGGTTTAGAAAAATTCAGCTCAAATGATGGTATCTTGACAAAATTATTAACAGGTGATATAACTGATGCTTAAATTGGGTGAGCTGATGAGCCTTAACAGGCAGCATTACAACTGAAATAACAGAAAGGTAAATTGTAGTGTACTACATCTTTCTGAGGAAGTTACTAATGTTTGAAGAAAGCAGAAATGGAATAATCTCACCTGATTTTTTTATTTGCCTGTCGTCTTGCCCTCCATGAAGGAGCCAGGACTGCAGCGTAGCCCGTGCCTGTCACAGTGTGTAGCCTGACGCAGTGTCGCTGTCTTCGCGCTCTAAGACGGGTTTCGTTGGCAGGATTTGGAGCAGTACGCGTCCAGCTACAGCGGCCTGATGCGAATCGAGCGGCTGCAGTTTATTGCTGACCACTGCCCACAGCTGCGGGTGGAAGCTCTCAAGATGGCACTGTCATTTGTCCAGAGAACTTTCAATGTCGATGTGTACGAAGAGATCCACAGAAAGTTGACCGAGGCCACCAGGTACTAAGAGCTCACGGGAACCTGGGGAGCTTTTTCGACTGAGTTAAGACTGACGTGCCACAGAGGGGGACTGTGCACGTGATACTGGCATGTTCCTTACGCACATTGTCTTTGCCCTTAGAGCGTGATAGTAATGAACCGTGTTCAGGCCTAAGGTCTCCTGCTTTTTTAAAAGATTAAACACAGAAGACGTTACCTCATTCTCAAGTGTTTTACAAGGCTACAGGCAGATATTGAGGAGAGTTTAGTCCCTGCAACTGCTTCAAATATTAATGAACACAGTTGTCTTTCCGTAGGTAGATTATGGAGATGAAGCCCCTTCTAAATGCTCTTGTGTTCAGAAATTAAAACCTTATCTAACTGTTTTCCCTGTTTTGGTTTGGTTTTCTTTTTTCTCTCTCCCCCCT